CTCGTATACACGTTACACATGGGGAAAACCACGAAAACGCCCATGCAGCCAGCCCGTTCGCGGGATTCGAACCTCGGACTGAACTACCAGTGTTCAGCGACTTTACCGCTCGACCGCTGGTGGGCTCGGATGCTTTCTTGGAGGCATTTTTAAAATAACTGGCTCGGATTCACGTTGCAACTGAGGAAAACCCTGGAAACTTCCACAAGTGTAAAAGTAACGCAAGTGAAGTGTTGACAAATTTTTATAATTAATCAAATTGATACATTGATTTAAACGAAAATCTCGAGTAATGTAAGATATTCTGATTTCGTTTTCAATAGAAATGGTATGAATCTTAAATTTCTCCGGAGACGAATTTTACATGGTTCTTGATCCTTTCGAATCTCAAATCCTTCACAGGAGAAATAAGAGGGAAAAGTATTTAAAATTAAAGATTATCAATTAAAAACGAAATTTCAGCTTAATGAAAAACAAATTTATGTATACAGTCTTTAAAGAATAAAATTAAATGAAATTAAGCAACAGAGAAGTTAGTTAAAACTCTCGAATCCTGAGGCGCATTTTCTTTCAACATAATTTGAAAAACAAATATACCAGGGGCAAATCTTTACTATGTTTTTTCAGAAACTGTAACAGAAAGTATAAAGGAAAGAAGGTTATTCTAAAAGGTAACACAGATAAACACTAAGCATGAAATGTTGAATCCTCTGATAAAATTATGTTACTCGGAGCTGCCATCATCAGATAACTGAATTTGATGGCCGAAGTCCACTGAAATTCGATTAATCGACTTGCTTTTCTAAATAAAAGCTTTATTAGATGCCAGTAAAATTAATTTTTGAAAAGATTTGTGTTCAAAAGTTTAATGATATTTTAGGTTAGGAAAAACTCGAATGACGCAAAAAGCCCAGATATGAAGTAAATGCAAGTTTTGAGTTTACAAATATGGAAGCTCTCTTGAGATTAATGGGAATCGAAGATTCGAATATCTCAACTCTTTCTTTTACGTTTCTCTCTTGGCTTTTATGAATTGCATAGAATCATCAAATTGTATTCACCTTACGTGACACCTTTTACAAGTTTCACTAATTTTCACATGATCAATGACCTAATGCTCTTAATGGCATCTTTACTCAATTATGCTTTAAACAACATTCCTTAAATTGTTAAAAATACTCAGACAATTTATGCTTTATGTGAAATAATCAATTCCTCTTTAAATTAAATTAATCGGCAATTTAAATTAATTAAATTAATTATAACTTCTGGTGATAAGCAATTGTAATGAATATTAGTATCTAATTTAAAATTAAAATTTAGATGAATTCCATATTTTTGATTTATCTAATCATAAAAATTTTAAAATGAAATGTGTTTTCTCAAATCATAAAAATATTCTTGCCAATGCAAAATCACATAAGCTTTCGTTGGGTCTGGGAAGAAGTACCAGTCTTGAAAACAAAAGAGATTAAAATACAAGGCTTTCAAATCAATTATTATCTAATCTAAATGTGTAAAATATTTTGCAAGTTTTAGCTTTTTTTACTGCATCAAGTTTGACAAAAATACCAAAAAAAATTTAAAATTAAAATTTAGATGAATTCCATATTTTTGATTTATCTAATCATAAAAATTTTAAAATGAAATGTGTTTTCTCAAATCATAAAAATATTCTTGCCAATGCAAAATCACATAAGCTTTCGTTGGGTCTGGGAAGAAGTACCAGTCTTGAAAACAAAAGAGATTAAAATACAAGGCTTTCAAATCAATTATTATCTAATCTAAATGTGTAAAATATTTTGCAAGTTTTAGCTTTTTTTACTGCATCAAGTTTGACAAAAATACCAAAAAAATGGAAATAGGTTCATGTATTTGAATTCAGCAATCTAAAAAATATGACACATTAGATACTTATTTTTATTGCATGGCATTCATTGTTGTAAGATAAAGCCAGTTAATTAGAGTCCTGCTACAGAAGCTAATTATTTCAATTATAATTATGATCGGCTTATGTTATGTTAGTTACACACATGGAGTCCATTTCTTTATCTGTTATTAAACAATGCACCTTTTAAAGAGATAGTTGGAAATATTTACAGAATGAATAATATTTTTTCTTTTTTTAACTTTTGAACTTTGTGCAGGAAATATCTAATTTCCTTTACTATAGGTTTTATTAAATTTCTAATTTCTGTTGGATTGTGTTACAATCTATGTCCACTTCCAGAGAATGTAATTAAATTTCTTTAAACATCAGAGTTAATTTAAAAAAAATTCGACAATCAGAAATTTATCATGCTTACATTTTTCTCTTTCGATTTTTCTGTTGATGAGTTTCATCTAGCGCTTCGCTTGATTAATTACATTCAATAATTTAACAAATGCGTATTGTATTTGACGATATTAGCTATTGCAACTCTGCTGCAGGGTTCTGTAACATAGCTTAATTATCTGTTTAATCAAGAGTCGTTAAAGAATGAGAGAATAGTTTAAACCAGCGGTTCTCAACCTTGTGACTAACGCTTACTATCTAAACAAAAACTGAAAAACTTTAGTACCGCCACTACGATGGTTACAGCTTAGTACCACCACACAATGATTATTTATCAATTTCTCAACAGAAATATAAAAAAAACATATTTTGCCGTTTGCAGAACCTATTGACTATTTGTATTAAATATGCACATATAAAAATTATTAGATTAAAAATTGGTTTTCATTTTGATTATCAAAATTTAAGTTACAATACTTCAATTTCGTAGGGAATGTGGGCCTGTTTAAAAGAGATCAATTTCTTTATGTCTGGTCTTATTTTATTTTGCTTTAACCGTATATTAAGATCCACTTTTAATTTTGTTCTGTATTTATTTTCAAATATAACATGGAAGAAGATCCTTCTTCACACAAATATGTTGTGCAAAAAGGCAATAAAAATTTAATAGCTTTAATTTGAAATGCCTTTAAATTCTTTTTTTCAGTTCAGCCAAAAGTTAACAAGTGTTTTATTTTTGAAATGTTCAGATAGATTTCGATCGCAGGAAATTTCTATCAACTGTTCTTTTTCTTCACGAGATTTTTTAATTTAATGGCTAAAAATACTTTGTTTCTTTACCGCCTACTTTTCTTTTGCGTACCACCAGTTGTAACACATACCACCGGTTGAGAATGACTGGTTTAAACTGAACGACATTTTTATTGAGATCTTTTTCTACCACTCAATATGTCATCTAAAATGTTTACAATTTTGCTTTTTTCAGGTTTTACAGAATTTCTCAATTTCGTTTGGTTAAGCTTTTTGTTTTTTTCATTTGGTTAAACTTGAGTTATCTACTGTATAGTTTACCCTATAACAAAATTTTTTAATTGTAAGAACGCTAATGTTTTTACCTAAGATTCTTTTGTGTGCAAAAATTCTCTGTTTTATTTTTAAACATACAAAATGTCCATATTTATATGTACAAATATATGGTGTGGATAGGTTTAGTTTGAATATTTATTTGTACAAATATATGGTGTGGATTGGTTTAGTTTGAAAGAAAATTTATTTGATTATGGTAAAGTACTCGAGGGCTATCTGCTTAATTGAAGGGATAATCTTTGCGGAGAACTTTCTAAGGAAAATTGGCTCGTATACACGTTACACATGGGTAAAATTGAAGAGAAAAAAAAAAAAAAACACCCATGCAGCCAGCTTGTTCGCCGAGATTCGAACCCTGGATCGAACTACCATTGTTCAGCGGTTTTATCGTTCGGCAGCTATATATGGAGTGGAAGCATGCTATTTACTTAAAAATTACAACGTCATTTGTAATATCATCAAATTTCAACTGGTAAAATGTTTCTTACGCTATTGTTAACCATAGAATTCAACATTAATAAATTCGACAGTTTATTATTCACGTTAGCGTTTTTAATTTTCACTTAGAGTAATGTCATGCAGTACTTCATTTAATTTAGTCTATTTAGTAACAAACTAAGACTGATCACAAGCTTTTCATTCGTTATTAATATTAGAATAAAATCTCTATACCAGTATTAAATCTAGAACTAAACTTTTACTTTTCTTCTGAAAGACCTAACATATTACAATTGATGCAATATACATAAAACATATGAAAGGAATTTTCCTCGGTTTCTCGATATAGCCTCATATTTTCATTGAGTACCTTGAAAAATTACTTTTAAAAATTCGTAAGTTTGATGAGAGATACTATCAATAACTTTCTTTTCATGCAACAGAATATAAGCTTCCTATAAGTAGGTGAAATTCCATAATTCCTATAATTAGGTGAAATTATGTAACGATGATACTCATATCAACTATCATTACATTTTTACTCTGCAAATTAATAACTTTTGTGACACTTTCTGTTCATAATCTTAGAAAAGAAAATTAGCAATTATTATAAACCTAATTAAAGAAAAGCACTAAATAGCATATGTTAGCATATTTTTATAGGCAAGAAATATAAATCTTTCAAGTACTATTATCATATTTACTCAAAACATTTTACATGGTGTATAATTTCACAAATGCAATTTATTTCTTCTTGATATTTATAAATTATTTATTTTGTTTTCTTTGAGCCACAATTTTTGTTTAAGTATTAACTTTCTATTTTTAGGGTTCACAAAAATAAAATATTTTTTAATTAAAAGAAACTTTAGAAACGTAAGAAAACAATAAATTGCTTGCATTTTGAATTTATTAGATAAATTTTCAAAATAATTTTAATAATTTAAGGAAAGCTCAGAAATATTTCAAAAAATTATTGTACATATATTTTGATTGAAATATTGTAATTAACAGAGTAAAATACATAAACCTGGCTCATAGTTACTGCAAAAAGCACAGTTAAATGACTAGGAAGAAGAAAAAATGTGTTCTGCTCTTCTTATTGCACTATTTTTTGCACTGTTTTCATACATGAGTAATTCCAACTCATAAGTAAACAAAACATTGCATATTTTTTTACAAATAAAATTTAAATAACGAATTAACTCATACAAATTAAGCTATATAATTTCAGATGGGAGATTTATATACATATGCTTACTTCACTATTAAATAGTTTTGATTTATCACACTTCAGAGCAAATATTCTATGCATAGTTTAAATGAAGTATTCAGAAATAATATTCTCACCTTTTCACAATACAATTCATCGGAGAGAACATGTTCCTTTACAAAAAACTTCAGTCCTACAGCAGGTTTTACTCTACATGATAAAAACGACTCAGTTTTACATTTTGTCTTTGCAAGAAAACAGTGTAAAATATTTAACATCTGAAATTTCTACATTTTCTTATACGCACGAATAGTCAAATCTGTAATATTCAAATCGAAAAATACAACAAAAATCATCACTTATTTCATTGAGAAGAAAAAAAATATTTGTAAATTCTTGATGATTTCAGATTTATCAAAAAGTTTATTTTATTTTATATTGCATAAAAGATTCCCTCAAAATATGTAATTTTTTATGCAACTAAACCATCTGTTCTCAGCTTGTGCTTTGAGCTCATTATCAAAGAGTATATTTAAATATCGACTTTGCTGCGTTTGTTGCTCTGGAAGATGCTTGAAAAGTTTATAAATCTTCATACTCTGCAAATATTCTATGAAACACATCTATTATTGTAAAGAAGTATAATTTCTTAATGTCAATCAAACTTTGTTTTTATTTTACAAAAGTTGAATGTTTTAGCTCGGTATTTAGCAGTGTAAACATCCTGTAACTGAAAAACTAAAAGCACATTGACACAAAATAAAATGTTTCACAAATGGAATGAAAGAAAAACCCATCTAGGATGAAACGATGAAGCCAGTTGCAAATTCAGTGACAGTATCGTCTGTACATAGGAAAAGTAATACATATGTCGGAAATAAGTCACATTTTTTAAGGTTGAACTTGCAATAATTTGTTCATAAACATAGGCTTAAATGAGTCTCATAATATGATATGCTTTTAAGTTTACAACTGTTAATACTGCACACATGATCGTCTTGGAAACATAGCAGTTTATTTAACTTATGTCCTTTACTTAGCAAATACTAACCAAAGATGATGGATATTATTATTTCTTAGAATTCCAAGATCTTCCTCTTTGCACGCACTCTGAAAGCAATCTTTCCCTCACGAAGTAAGCAATGAAAAGTTGGTTTTAAGGTGACTATACTTGTCGGGAACAAATGTGTGACAGCCTGTCTGGTCTCTGTCCATGACCCTCATTCAAAGCCGTTGCTCCGTGGGGTGGAGTCCAAATGTGGCCATCTGAAAGAGCAGGGGTATAGGCGCCGGGTGGTACTAATGGAATGTCATGGTGCCCATGGTGGGGATCTGAATCCTTACCGCCACGAACCACTTCCGTCATAAAAGCGATGTACATGATGGCCAGCCTCAGAGTCTCGATTCGCGACAGGCGCTTTTCGTACGCAAAAGTAGGTACTTTCTTCCGCAGCTTGTCGAAAGCCGAGTTGAGGTTGAACATCCGACGCCGCTCGCGGATGTTCGCAGCACGACGCTGGGCTATCGTCGCGACCCTCCTCCGCGTCTTGGACTTGGTTGATCCATTTGGGGTATTACCAGTACCACTACAATGGGGAGGACCTCTCGATGGTGGTCCGAGACGCTGCACCCCCATTCCAGGGATCCTTCCGCCAGTACACGCGGGGCTAGGTATGGAGAAAGGCCCAAAATCGCAGGATCCGAAATGAGAACCCGCCTGATGATGTCCTTGGTAAGTAGCTGCAAGAGCCGCGGCACTTTGGGCCTCCCAGGCAAGCGAAGCGTAGCTCTCTGCTGCGGCCGCGGCTGCAGCTGCTGCGTCCGAGCCAAAGTAACCGAAGCCCGCCGCGGTTGAGTGGGCCGGTGGCGGCGGGTGGTGGTGCCGAAATCCCGCAGCAAGTCCAAAGTCGTAGGCGAAGTCAGCGGCGACCGCTGCTGCGGCGGCGGAGTTCGTGAGCTCTAGGAAAGCTGCCGCTGAGCCGCACTCAGGTGTGCCAAAAGGAGCCGCCGCCGTGGCCGGGCTAGCGTGAAAGCGATTGACACCGTTTGACGGGTTGAGTGCGCCCGACATGTTAGGCAATGTGGCGTGGAGCCGCCAGATGCAGCCGACAACAGCCGGGGACCCGGCCGCTCTGCCGCGATCTAATTAGAACATCAACTCCCGATGCGTCGGTCCTTTATACGCAACAGATAAAACCGGCACCGGAGAAGAGGCTCCTCTTTAGAAGCCATTCTGTTGTGTCTTCACCCCACCCTTCCGCATATTTCCATCGCAGTAGTGCCATGTATTCAGGAAGAATCCTCCTGGTCCACCTCCCCCCTTCCGTATATTTCTATCTGCACAGATCCCCCCTCCAAGGTTTTCCTTCGGACTGATATGATGCCCCCCACTTCGGATTATTAAGATCCCCCCGCTTCCAAGAGTGTTATGCATTATGCAGTTAAGGGACGCTACCCTCCGCTCCCGCCTATTGGACGATCGTTTCGATTTTACGCCGGCTCGGCTTTTCGGGTGCGAAAAATTGACAATGGATGCAAGAGGGAGGGCGAGGAAATCGCTCCTCTACCCCATCCTTCCCTTCAATTCCGCGCCAAAAGTTGGCGACAGCTCGAAATGCGCACCGGCTGCTACTGCGGCACCGGCTCCGACCAATGGGAAGTCTTGCAGGTGCCAGCACGATCGATGCCGTCATCTGCCGTTCGAAGCGGTAGAAATGAGCGATGCGAGTTGCTTTATGGGTACAACACTTCTTTTCCGAAATCCCTTCTCCCACCCTCTTCGATCACCTCCTCATCCACCCTTTCCTGTTTTTGCTGAAATGTCTGAGCTGATGAGAAGCTTGTTGGGGTGACGACGCTCGCTGCTGTCCCGGAAACAAAGCAGATTTTCCTGTACTTTCTTAAAGAGTAACCTTCCCTTTTGAAATTCATCTTCTTTTACTATTTCAGCCCAGTATATAGCCATCCGTACGGCCTAGTTCGTTTCTTAAGGGCATATCCCGGTATTAAAGAATGATTTCAAGATCAATGAATTCAGTTTCAAAATATTTTCTTCTATAATAAAATTAACGTTATTTAAAAAAATATTTATTACTTAAATCGCGGAAATTTCATGTGCTCAAAATCATGATAACAGTGATTTTTACGGCTTTTAAATATCTTTCATTTTGTGGTTAAAAAATTGTAAAATTCTTTTTTCTCATATACGTTTAGGAGAAAATTGAAATATTCAGCAATAAAGCTGCGTTATATATTGAAACCTTGTGCGAGAAAAGTATAATATATTGGGAAAGAGGACTATTATCCTCGATAAATATCTTTCAGAAGAAGTGTATATTTTTTAATTTCTCCCATCGTCAAATTTACTGACATCTTTTACGGAGTATTTCCTTATGATAATCTTAATTTCCGATTTTTTTTCTTAAATCGCTGCGCATTTGCATTATAAAATTGACTTGAATGACGTATTCAATAAATGATTATAATATTTCCCATCTATAAAGTAATATCACTGTCATAAGGAATATCATTCATTCTCTTCATATCTATAATTGAAAAATTATAATGAATCATCAACCTTCTTTTGTTTCAGAAATTGCTCAGAAACTTTAAAATAAGTAGAGCAGCCAAGAGCTAGTCCTAATAATTTTTGAAAAATGTTTACATTTTTAAATATTCCCTGATTATAAGTACTGATTCTGTTACTACTGATTCTGTTGATACAACTGTTGTTTTTATAGCGTATATTCTTTCATGGTATTCACAAAACAAATATTCGGCAATCTTTTTTATTTTAATACAAATAATATTTTACCAAAACTATTGGTTTGTTACAATAAGCCCCAAACATGGGGCAATTTGTAATAGATCTGGGGCAAGTATTAACCACACAAACGGCAATATTTTAAAAACATATAATGGTTATCACTACTAGATAGTATGATGACACTGAATGCTATCAAGTGGCTTACAGTAAAACAAAGATAAAATTAATTAAATAATTAATATAAAAGTTGGCCTTCATGAAAATTTCAGTTAACACAAATAAATGATAGATTGTTTCTTCTCACGCATTTAACGTGCACCCATATATTGCAGACTAAGCATTGTACCACTCATCTTCATCAGAATTGTTGTAAGCATCTTCGCAAGTTAAAGCAAATCACTTTTCTGTTTCAGAAACTGTATCTAAGCGCTAAGTCGTCTTCTTCACCCGTTTCATCTCTTCATTTCCTTCGCGGATTTTTTTTTTTTTTTTTTTCGTTAACTATTTCGCTGACGTTTCGTTTGGCTTACCTTTCTCTTCTTTTTAATTTCTTTTTAAATATCTGTTCATATTCTTTTTTTTGAATGTTTCTTTATCGGATGTGTCAGTTAAAGGGCATATTTTCTTTTGCGTTGGGCTGTATTAGATTGCTTCCGAGGGGAAGTCTTAGGGAGGGAGGTAATCTTTGAGGACGAAATTCGATTTTTATATTTTGGGAAAGAACTCTAAATAGAAAAAAGTAATTTGAATGTTAATATTTAAAAAGGAAAGTCTAACTGTGTGAATAAAAATCTTGGAGCAAGTTGTATGATGTTGCAGCTTGCCCCATCTATGGTTTCGGACATTTTTATTGATTAATAGTAAAAACATTAAAGCAGCATTTTAAAACATAACACATGGATTAAATAAATAGGTAAAACCATTTTTAAAAAATTAACTAACCTATTTTAAATCAATTTTTTTTTTTTTTTTGTTTTCATTAACTAGCTAACATGAAGCATGCGCACGCAATATCTCACTATTCTTTCCGGCGGGATACTGATTGTGTTTACACTATAGGGCGCATCATAAAAGTCATGTTTAGTAACAATTCTGATAAAAAAGAAGTTTAAAAATTACTGCGTAACGTGCGTGTTACTACTTATCCTTGTTACAAATAACCCCTAGCTCTTCTACAATTAATATCCAAATTCTGGGAATTCGAAATGGAAAATGCGCTTTATGAATGCAAAGAGAACTCTAACTGCAAGTCTTGCATTTAGCAGCTTAACGTACACGCTTCACTAATTCGTATTTTCGCACTTATTAGAGATATTAATTTTGTTTTTTCATGTTTATAAGCACTGACGATTTTTCTAACTACTTACTCGAACATCTTCTCTAAAATGTATGTTGAATATAGGCATGAATGAGGTTCCCCTGTAACACATTCTTTCTCAAATTCCTTTATGAGACTTATGAGACTTTATTTTCTCAAATTCCTTTATGAGTTTCTTCTTTAAATTATATTTTGTATTATTTTTTTATGCATTTATTGCCGCAAAACCCAAAGCATTACGAAATCCTTGAACTGGCCAGTATCTGGAAATGACTTTGACGGAGTATGTTTTCGTCATTTGTTCTAAATCATCCGCACTGAAGTTTGTTGAAATTATAGATTATTACTAATTTTGGAAATTAACCTGGTTTTTTTTTCTTCAACACTATATGCGAATGCAAAATGCTCAATATCAAAGCATTTTTGTTCATATTTTCTTGTTGCATCCCCAAACTTGTATCAAGGCTTTTAATAATTCTCATTGCTTAAAGAGTAGCTTGTGAGCATGCAGTTTTAAATTGACAAATTAAAATCACTTTTTTTAAGACTAGAAAATACCGGTACTGATTTACTGGACTTACAAGTGCTATCAAAAGATAGCACTAACAACAAATAAGCAAATAAAATTAAACACTAACAACGCGTTTACTGAACAAGTTCTCTGTCTCTGAATACCTAATAACTTTCTTATGCATTTTATTTATGTTTCATAAATGCTAAATCTACATAAACAAATTATGTTTTCTACATTAGAAAGATAAATAGATACTAGATAAATCGGTAAAAAATATTTGTTTCATGTTAGTTGCTGTACGGATTGACATGCGAAAATAATTCTGTTTTCCTTATTAACTTAAGGGAATTCTATTTTGTTTTATAGTCACTTATGGAAATTCAGTTTTCTTTTCATTTTATTCAGAGGGCATTCAACTGGCCGCTACAATGGCTCTAGCTATAGACCTGCTTAAATCTGGAACTAAAGCATTGCTTATTTTAAAATTTCATATGCAGGATATTTGAATACTTTAAAAAAATTGTCATTGAAATTTCAATTTTAAAGTTAGCATGCTGAGAAAGATTCAAGGACGTGATGTTTCAAAACGATTAACTTGACCGCTGAGCGATTCTAGTGTTATTTGAGCGCTAGAATAAATATAATATAGACTCTAGAATAATTAGAGTGGTGAAAAGTTCTGGAAAACCTAAACTCAGTATTTTGGGTTTGGTTCTTGGACATATATTGGTACCTTAGGTAGGATTCATTCAATCGATGAAGAACACTTCATCAAGAAACACACTTCTCAGCATTTTGTAAAACAGGAATGATCTTTACTGTGCTAGAGACCAATGTAGTAGCATCTCTTTATTTTATCATTAATTCTAAAATGTCAAAATGTCTAAATAATTACAGCCATTATTATTTTAATGAAATGAATGAAAGAAATATTTCACTTTTGCTTATATCACTGAAAAGGCTGTATTAAATATGAACGAGAACTTTATTATAGTATACCTTAAACTTCTGCCTGTAACAAATGGATATATGTACTGATGAACGAAGTTCTCATATTTACTTATTTAAATATAAGTACTTTAACTAAGTAATAAATAAATAAATATGAGATAATAATACATAAGTATATATATGTTTTCATATATACTTATGTATTATTATCTCATATTTATTTATTTATTACTTATTTAAAGTACGTTTGATTACTTGTAGTTATTCTATGCAGTTTTCTCAACGTTTTTTAAATGCAAAATAAACTTATTCATCTGTTACAAAAGGAAATATTAATCTATAAAAACATGATTCATCTATTGTATTAGTTTTAACTTTTTTCTAATAGGAATATTATTTATAGATTCTTATAACTAAGGTGCAGGTGAAACACTTTCTTTCCTGATACACAAATAATTTAATGGAAATAATATTCAATGAATATAGCAATTTCAAGTTAGTTCATCTGCAACTGAGATAAATTCATCGAACTGCAAACGACTGCAAGTTTGTAGCATTATTAGAACAGAGAAACTACGCAGAATCTAAACAGTAGTCTAGATTAAATTTCCAATTTACTCAGTTAGCTAAAAATACGAGTGCTCCGAAATGGAAACCTACAAAATTATTGAATTTTTCTACGAAGCACAGGATTGTTCACTGTATTAGA